AGAGAGAGAGAGAGAGAGAGAGAGAGAGAGAGGGACTCTTACAGGAACAAGCATAATGGCGACCAGCTGCCTTTAGACTCAATATAAGGATCTATATAACAGAATACACACAGGAGAGATGTACATACATACGTGTGTGTGTGTCCCTTTAGTACACTCACACACACACACACACACACACACATAAATGTCCAGCACTCTGTCAGCAAATTAAACCTTTAATGTAAATTGAGTTTACAATAAATCTACCAGCGGCAGAAAAGATGGATGAAAATTAAAATTGCTCTCTTGGCAATAGTTACTGACATTTGCATATACATAATTTATTCTGCTGGAGAGAGTGAAAGAGAGAAGGAGAAAGAAAAGAGGAAGAGACCAGTTGAGAATCACACGAGTCTCATTACTAGAGGAAGAAAACGAGAGACAAACACACGATTCAACATCCATCAGCACTGCGCACGACACACACACACACACACACACACACACGTATTCACGTCTATGTGATGTATATATTTGACTGCTACAATAAACTGAGAATCTTTTTACCAATAATAAATCAATCTGATGGAACTCGATACAGATGAGTGCAGCTCTACACTGCATCTGAACACAACAATCAAACACACACACACACACACACACACACACGCACACACACGCGCACACACACACACACACACACAGGTTTGTTTTTGTGAAAAGTGGGGACTCTCCATAGGCGTAATGGTTTTTATACTGTACAGACCGTATATTCTATTGTCCTACACCAACCCTACCCCTAAACCTACCCCTCACAGGAGACTTTCTGCTATTTCAGATTTTCAATACACTCCATTCTGTGTGATTTATAAGCGTTTTGAAAAGTGGGGACATGGGGTAATGTCCTGAAAAGTCACCTTCTCCTTGTAATACCTGTCATACCTTTGTCATTATACACATTTATGTCCTCATTTGTCACAAAAATGCGCGCGCACACACACACAAACACACACAGCTCTCTAAATAATGACACAGATATCTATTGTTGCTGTTATATACAGCTAGTTAAATACTGCAACCAAACCCACACACTAAATCTAATAGAAAAATGTCAGCATTTTTGCATTTTTCATTGTGTGTCCATTGTCTCAGCTCGTCTGTTTGCGCTGGTCTGTTCATCACTGACTGCTATCTTCTGACCCCAGATCAGCACTAGACTCGTCCGCATGGCCTCAAATCCACCATAAAAGCTTTCAGAGATGCAGAGAAACGCATCAAGGTCAGAAGCGTCGCCCTGGACTGGTTTTCAAAAAGATCCCGGTAATGACTTCCGAATGGATTCAGATTAATACAGAACAGTTATAGAAATCGGATTTCCCCTGCTGTGAGAGAAAGGATGTCAGGACGACAGCTGTCTCTCTCTCGCTCTCTCTCCAGAACAAACATTCCAGATGAATCCGAGGATGTTCATATGTGATTCATGTGATTCCAGCACGTTCAGCACACACACACACACACACACACAGCACACACACACAATGTCTCTCAGAGGGTCTTAAGATGATCAACTGTCTGTCTGTTCTGTGAACTGTCTCTTATTTTACAAATCTGTATTATTCATGAGCTAATTAGCAGGTTTGGGTTGTTTGGGGGGGTTTCAGGAGGGTCATTTTTAAATTGGCGTGGCAAACGAGACGCAGAAACTGTAAAAATCCTTTTTTAAATAAAATGTATTGCTATGTATTTAAATTTTGTATGATTTTCTATCTTCAGCAAAATGGAAGCTTTAGGATATTCTGATTTTTAATTAATTTTTATCAAATACTGGTGCTTATGCTAATAAGCACTCATGCTAACTACTTATTTCCCCCCAATGGAGAGAGAAACACCACAGAGAAATCAGCACAAATCCAGACTTTTTTAAACATGGGATCTGCCATCATGATAGGCTATGCTTATCAAAATTTAGATACAAATACATAAAATCAGTTATCAGCGTAATTTTGCAGAATATATAAAAATTAAGATTGAACACACCACTCACCCTTAGATCAACCATCACCTACAGTGACCTTTACACACGAGAAGTAGCTCAAATACAATTCCTGCTTTCTTAAAGGGGCGACATCCATGCTTGTATCGCCACAGACGTGAGTTGGTGGACACGGATCTGTCAAAATATCATATGGATATTTTTAAACAATTAAATTGCACGCGCTAAAATCTATATTCACAATATAACTACTTTATTCATGTTAAAAATGCTGTATTGTTGCAATCACATCCCAGGACACCTCTTTGATGTATGATGGAAACATGCAGATTTTGCTACACATAAAACCTCTCAAACTATATTAAATATGTATTTTAAAACAAAATTGTCTCTTTTAACAGTGCACAAATTGTTTTCACCCAACAGAATACAAATATGCAAACATTTTATTATTTATTTGTATTTTATGTTCATTTCAACTGTAAGAGGTACAAGACTTGCCATCGCAGGAGAGAGAGCACAGGTTTTAAATGGAGGGTGAGACTGTCCATCTGTCTGTGTGTGTGTGTGTGTGTGTGTGTGTGTGTGTCTGTCATGTGAATCCAGAGCACTGATGCTTGTGAAGGTCAGTGAGGATTACTGAAACACACTCTCTGAGCGCTGTGTGTGTGAATGTTGATTATAAGCTGAACAGTGACTGACTGACTGACAGATGGACAGCCTGTGTTTCTCCTGCAGCTCACGAGGAACCGTCGTAGCACCAGAACCAATCTGAACGAGCCATGTTCCTGTGCTGTCCAGCCTAAAGCACCAATAAAGGTGCAAAACATGGCAAATTATTTGTGTGAACAATTCATTCCCTTGTATTTGGATTTATTTTTGGCTTTTGTACCAGCATCTGCTTTTACAGCACAGCCTCACAGCACCATCCAAACAGGAGCATCATGACTGTCAGACACAAACCTACTCAACATGACGGCCCTGAACTTTACATAACAGCCTCTGAATCAATCAATGCTTTCAGTCTGAATGAAATAACAGGTTGTTTTTTTTTACAGGGAAAATGTTTGATGCTCTATTGAATCTGTAAGTTAATGAACTCTCACCTGAATGAAGGGGAACAAATCTCTGGATGAGCAGATTCAAAAGATTTGTTTTGAGAATTGACCACTTAGATGTGCAATGATATATTTTAGGTCGTGTCGAGCGTCTCACACACACACACACGAACACACACTGGCATCAAACACACACTCCATGCTCTC